GGCCTGAAAACAAACATTTTGACCAAACTGGAGATTGCGGTCAAACTAGGGTTTACGGCCATAAACCCGTCGCCGTAAGCTCAGGGCCGCAAACGGAGTATACGGTCGTAAGCTCCCGGGCCGTAAGCTTCAGCCGTAACCTCCGATAGATCGTTTTTCCTTCGATTGAAGCATCAAAACTCATTGATTTCATGAAGTAAGCACATATTCAAGGTTGGTTTTTCCGTATCTTTGAGATTAACCGAGCAATTTCACAAAAACAAGACAAAAATTTTTCGAAGATGAGAGAGGAAAGAGGGTTTGCGGCCGGAAATAGAAAAGTGAAGACTGAAAATGGTTTCTGGCTGTAAACCCACCTTTTATACCCTGTTCGAATTATACATGTTGTCCACACAATGTAAGACACAGTCCAAAGCCCAAATATTTTAAAATTAAACTTTTTGAGGATTTAAAAATTAAAATTAAAATTAAAGATAACATAAACTAAAATAAAAATAAAGTAAAATAAAATAAAATGATTTCGAAAAATTTAAAATTCTAAAGTTTGACAATTATAAAATTAAGATAAATTAAAAATTAAAATTAAAATTAAAATTAAAATAATAAATAATAAATAATAAAATAATAAAAATAATAGTAAATAAAAACCAAAATACAATGAGACTAAACTTATCTCAACTAACACTGAATATATACTTTTGTGACACATGGATCAAAGTTGTTAGACAACCTTAATCCACTTGTCGGTACCTTCACCTTCATATCTTTGTCTGGTCGATCGCCGATATTATGATCCACTTAAACATGAAAAATTATGATAAATTTGGACAAGCCAATATATATAAGACACTTTTGATCCTATATTTTTTAGATAAATTTTCTAGAGACCATTTAGCTGACGACGACCAGGGATATTGTTGTCCACCTAAATTGAGTACAGATAATCTGCAATTGTTCAATTTTGATTGTACTCGAACATGTTTCCTGCTTCCTGATATGCTCCAGTAATCACGGACTTCTAGAATACTCCTTACATCGGGTGAGCAGACAATTATTGAGAGAGAATATAGATTTAACATGCATATGTTATACACCCAAGTCGGATCTCTTCCAATCACGCAGAGGGTGAAAAATATGACTAACTGAAGTTTTAGAGGGATTAAGAAAAAGAATGATGCATACACTGTGTACCAGGTCGGATTATAAGTCACGCAAAGGAGACAGTATATGGCTAACATATAGAAAGAATTGCATAGATAGAAGATGCAGAGAGATAGAGTTGCATATGTTACAGTCTAGGTCGGATCTCTCGATCACGTAGAGGAGGCAACATATGACTAACAGACAGAAAGAAAGAAAATAACCTTCTACAAACCTAACTTATCGGAATTCGCCGGTCACCCCATCAATACCGGAATTAAGGAAAAAATCCACACATCGAGGAAAAGTTAATCCACAGTTCTAGATACGGGTTCTTTTAATGTGAATAGTAGATTCCCATATATATCTCCCTGCTCAACCTATCCGAGCGTCGTATTTTCAGTCTAAACGGATCTAACTAGTTCAAGATTTTTCAAGTCCATGAATTCCTTAAATTCAACTCTTCCTAGTCAAGTCCATTTAGAATCTTTCGTGCCTACCAGCGCACCAAACACAAAGCGTAGACAATATAATTTTGGTACGTTATGCGGATTCAGATTGCCTGTTATCATTTGATAATATCACTTCCCATCACATCACCTACAAGCAAAAGTATTAGCAACATATTTTTGATTTTCTGATTTTTAATGTTTTTGGATTTTTGAAATTTTCATTTTTTTGTTTGGTTTTTGTTTATTTCTCTCCCTAAATTTGTGCATAGGTGAGAATGAAGTAAAACAATGCACAAACTTAAACTAATTTATCCTAAAATAAAATAAGATAAAAATAAAAATAAAAAATAAAATAAATAAAATAAATAAATTAATCCTCAACACGAATCATTTTCAGAAACCTCACAAGCACATCGAATTGAGCTTTGTTAAAAGGATTAGTGAACAAATCCGCCACATTATTGGCAGTGGGAACCTGTTCCAGCCAGATGAGAGAACGCTCATAACAATCTCTGATAAAATGAATCTTGATATCAATGTGCTTGGTTTTGGAATGTTAGACAGGAGTTTTAGCAATTTGAATCGCAACCTCATTATCACAGTAAATTGGGGTTTCTAGATAATTCAAACCATAATCCAACAGCTGATGTTGGATCCAGATAACTTAAGAGCAACAAGCAGATGCAACAACATATTCCGTTTTTGTTGTTGAGGTTGAGACGTTATGTTGTTTCTTGCACTGCCATGACACCAGCCAATCTCCGAGAAATTGACACCCTCCTAATGTAACTCTTCTGTCAAGATCACAACCTCCATAATTACTATCAGCAAAAGCATATAAATCAAATTCAGAATTTTTCGGATACCAAATATCCAATTTCGGGCTGCATTTGATATACCGAAAAAATCTTTTGATCTACGGACTGGCACACTGCAAACATGATGTCTGGACGACTTTCAATGAGATACATCAACGATCCGATCATCGATCTATAGTGAGTCTGATCTACGGATTCGCCATCAGTATCTGGATTTAGCAGGGGTCTTTCGGCCATCGGTGTCGATGCAGATTTTGCATCTTGGAACCCGAACTTCTTAAGAATATCCTCTACATACTTAGCTTGATGGAGCAGGATTATGGTTGAATCTTGTTTGACCTGAACCCCCATAAACATGGTCATCTTACCCAATGAACTCATCTCAAACCTCTTTTTCATAACGCCTTCAAACTCTTTGCATAGTTGCGGACTGGTAGACCCGAAGATAATGTTGTGAACGTAGATCTAGAGTAAAAGCTGATCATTACCCACGTGATTTATGAACAAAGTTTGATCGATAGTGCCACGATAATATCCATGCTCGAGAAAGTGTTTTGTGAGAGTCGCATACCACGCTCGAGGAGCTTGATGTAAGCCGTACAATACCTTGTCCAACTTGTAGACATGATTAGGAAGCTTCGAGTTAACGAACCCAAAGGGATAATCAACATATATTTCTTCCTTCACCTTGCTATACAAGAAGGCTGTCTTGACATCCATTTGGTAAAGGGTGAAGTTCATGTAGGAAGCATATGCAAGGAAGATACGAATAGCCTCCAAGCGATCTACTAGAGCATAAACCTTAGTGTAGTCATGACCCTCGATCTGTCTAAACCCGCGAAGCACGAATCTTGCTTTATTGTGCACTATGAATCTGGAATCATCTTGCTTGTTTTGATAGACCCAGCGTATGTCGAGAGACTTTTTGCCCTTCGGTAGCTCAACCAAATTCCAAACCCCGAGCTTCTCAAATTGATTCAGCTCTTCATGCATATCATCTACCCATCTAGGCTCAGTCAAAGCCATTTAAATGTTCTTAGGCTCTATTTGAGAAATAAAACAAGAATAGAGACATGCATTAACATCTCCATTCTGACTTCTAGTTTTGACTCCGTCACCCAGCTGACCAATGACGTTTTCGATCGGATGATCGCGTTGAATTCTTGAAGGTATTTCTTGGAACTACTAGAAACGAGCCCTTTAATGACGTGCAAACAATGACACGCGGTGATTTACGATACGTAAAAGCGTGTGCCCTAAAAATAATGTTATCTCTTCTAAAATTTGAAGGTTAGTGGACACGCTTTTATGCGTGCCCTAAAATTAATGCCGAACAAAAAAAAACACGGAGGGCACTTATTTAAAAATGGGTGTCGTCTAGAAATGTCGCTTTATATTATTTTAATTAAAGGCATGTTCTTTTCTTTTGCAGCTGGGGGGAAAACGAAAATCCCAAAAGTTTGAAAGGCCGCCATTGTTACCCTCTGCCTTATTTAAATCGTTACTCTCTCTCTCTCTCTCTCTCTCTCTCTCTTTCTCTCTCTATCTCTATCTCTCTCACTCTAATATGCAAAAAAACCCTAATAACATCACCAATCCTCTTTTTTCCCACAACAAAATCGCAATATAATCCCGTCTTTTGAACAGATCAAACCCATAGGGGTTCTTGACGGAAGAGATACAGCTTCATACGAGCCCTAATTTCTCATCTGATTTCGTTAACTTCTTCAAATGGTTCTCAAACTTTTTTTCTCTCTCTACATTTTCTTCTCTTTCATTTCTCGATCCCCAGAAGGTCAGGAGAACGCTGCGTCTGCAATCGGATTGCTAGGTCGTAATCCTGAGAGCGTTGAATGTCGATGTATGCTCGATGTTTGTTAAAATTCTCAATGAATATCCCATGAAAGAGCAAGCAATTGTCACTTGGTCTGTATCGTTCAATTAACACAATTCATCAAACCCTAGAATCGTAAAGGAAACCTAGCCCCTAAAGCGTTCTTCACACTTCACCTCCTCAAAAATCTATCGGTAATAAATCAAATTATTCTTTGCTTTATACTATTTGTATGCGACCTTCTAATCTCTTTGATCCAAGTTCTATTTAGGCTCCATATGGAGGAAGTATCTTCGTATGGACATTCTAATCTCTTTCATCTTTTTTACATCTCAACGTGTTTCTCGGAAGCATCATAACTGGAACCGCGCTTTAGCAACTAAAAGATTTCTTGGATCAGTCGCCATCCCGGAGAATACAGAGGAAACCATGGATCCTGGTTCATTGCTTTGGTCTGTAACCGAGCCTCGATTACAGTTGTACTTCTTGCTTGGACTCGTGTACTCAACCATCACCCTTATTCTCCTTACATTTATCATCGTCTTCTTTGAGTTTGCTTATATGTTTATTCATCATATGAACACAAGTCAAGATTCGAATTTGATGCCTTCTGTTGACCTCAAGAATGAAATATCAGTGAATAGAAACTCAGAAGATTCAATGAATTCAGGTAAGATTATGTTTTTGCGATTGGCACATCTGTTATTGATTTCATGGTTGTGTAAGTTGTTAGGGTTTTTGTATGTTAACTTGGTTATGTTCGAAATATTGTGTTCAAGGGATATTCCAGCTGCTACAGAAGAAGATGTTAACGTTGCTGTGGATGTTGTTCACAAAGCTCTTAAACATAATGGAGGGAAAGAGTGCGCATCAACATCAGAAGCTCATCATGCCAAGTATTTGCGTGATATTGCTTCAAAGGTGTTTGTGTGTGGTTATCCGTTACTTCATCTTCTTTGTCTCAAATTCATAAGTTCTATATACACATAGTGGAGAAAAAATCTGAATTGGCAAAACTTGAAGCCATCGATTGTGGCAAACCACTTGAAGAAGCAACTTAGGATATGGTAAGTTAATTGCATATATAACTAGGTTCATTAACAAACTTGCTAGTATATGACATTTAATCATTTAGGATGATGTTGCTGGATGCTTTGATTACAATGCTGATCATGCTGAAGAGTTGGATAGAAAGCAAAATGCATATATTAGTCTTCCAATGGATACATTTAAGTGTCATCTTATCAGGGAACCTATTGGTGTTGTTGCATTGATTACTCCATGGTATACTTAATACTTCCTCTCTCTTCTGATTCAGTAAGGTGTAATGAAAAGTTCAAACAATCATCTCCTTCATTTTACCTATAGGAATTACCCTTTGTTGATGGCCACCTGGAAAGTTGCTCCTACCCTGGCAGCTAGATGTGCTGCTATTCTCAAACCATCAGAATTAGCATCTCTGTAAGTATGCTTCTTAATTCTTTTTGTATATATACTTTATGTTGGATACTTCTCTTATATATATAAGTTGCTATTCGATTTCAGTACTTGTCTGGAATTAGGTGAAATATGCAGAGAGGTGGGACTCCCTCCTGGTATTCTCAATATTCTGACTAGATTAGGTCAAGAAGCAGGTGCACCAAGCAGAAGCGAGTGATACTTTGTTTTCACATTTTTGAAAATCTCATATTTAATTTTAAAAAATATATATTGTTCTTTCCTTCTGTAGGAATCCTTCATGATGCATGATGATGTTGTTTTGTGTATCGATTTTAGTAGAGATTCAGAGATGCTTGCTTCTGGATCACAAGATGGAAAGATTAAAGTAAGCATACATTGTCATGTGTGTTTTTTTTACACAACTTATTCACATATAAATATAAAATCTGTTTAATTATATAATTATAGGATTCATGCGATGAAGAATGGAAAATTGTTAAAGGAATTTTATGGTCATTCTTGTTATATAAATGATGCCACTTTTACAACTGATGAACGTCGTTTCATTACTGCATCAAGTGATTGTACGGTAAAAGTTTGGGATTTGAAGACTGCAGATTGTCTACAAACATTCAATCCACCCCCTCTATTGAGGGTAATTTAGTCATTTACTCAAATTCTGACATTTCATTCAGTTTTTAAAAAGAAACAATCTTTGTTAACAAAAAAACACTTTCTCTATTAAGTCGTTCTATCCATATCATTTCATTCAGTTTCTAAAAAAAACAATTTGTGTGTAATTGCAGGGAAGTTGGTTTGGTCAATCCGGATTGACCTTCACATTATAGACAATGGAGGGTAAGCTGGAATTTGGAAAAAGAAAATGGAAATGCAATTTCATGTACACTTTTACAGTTAAATGCAATAATTGAAGTTTGTTTTTATTTTCTTACAGGTTTATTCTTGTTTCTTGTCATTTGTATTGCATTTATTGATAAGGATCAGGAGGGACTTTATGTCTTTTTTTTATCCTTCAAAGTTTTGGAGTGAGCTGATTCAGCAAGCAAGCGTATGATATTGTTCTCATTTTTTATAAAAAAGATTATGTCTTAATAAGTAAAATCTTGGAAAGACTGATAAGAAAGTCAAAGTATGTTAATATGTCCAAGTAGTAATATCGTATGATGTTGGCGCAGGAACTTGATCATGTTGTGGAAGAACTTGAAAATATTGCTAAAGTGAATCTCCTTTAACACAGATCCATTATTTCACTAATTGAATAGGTTTATTTATTGATACATCGTAGAAAATTTGTTATCCTGGAGTTCCATAGATAGCACATTTGACTAGTGTCAAATTGTTCTTGCATATGCTACAACTTAAATGGGATCTTACTTAACTTACCAATGATTTTATATTTATGAAAGATTGGTCCTTTAAAATGTTGGCGAGGTGGGTTATGCCTTTCAAGATCTATTGGAGATAGAGATGTTGGGGGGGTTCATTATTCCAGTTCCTCATGTCAAACAAGTGAAGGTTAGTTTAGTAATTAAACTCAATTTATTCCTCTTTTTATTAACCACTATTATTTATTCATGATCTTCAACTATCTTCTGCTTGTCGGCGACTTGAAATTTCAAGTGATGGAGTCTTGGATGCTCTTTTCAATGAATCAGCTCTGGAATGCAGCCGCGGATTGGCTCCGGAATCAGCAGCAGCAGCACAAATTGTCAAAGTACGGAAACAAAAAAATGTCAAATTTGTAATAAAATATTATGCAATGGATTCTATTTTTGTATATAATATTTTGTATGACATTAAATTTTATAAAATGGATTATTATTTTTGTATATGATATTTTATTTTCTATTATGAGGCATTAAATGCAAATTTAATTTGAAAATTAGTAAATCTATAAAAAAAATATTTTTTTAAACATTTAAAATTATGATACGCAAAAATGTGTGTCATCTTCATTTATGACATGGCCTTTCTTGACAGAGGCTTTCTTGATACGCATTGCATGTCATTAACACGTGCGTCGTAAGGTTACGACACGCGAATGCGTGTCGTCTTCCTTTATGATGGGGCCTTCCTTGATACGCATTGCGTGTCGTAAACGCGCGTCGTAAATGAGCGTTGTAAATGCGCGTCGTCTATAGACGATGCGCAAAAGCGCGTCGTCTCTATTTATGACAGGGCCTTTCTTGACGCGCATTTGCGCGTCGTCTGAGCCTTTTACGACGCGCAATGAGCGTCATAAAAGGCTGGTTTTCTAGTAGTGTGGCTGATATCATTGGGTGAAACGGGAAGATTGTGAATGTTGAAACCTCCATCATTTGTTGATTGTTCCACATTAGATGAATCTGATACAAACTCATTAGCAATTTCTTCAGGAAAGAGTAGTTCCATAAAAGTTGAAGTGACAGTAGAAGCATCTCTAGACATGAACTCTCTTTCAACAGGAGTAAGAGGTGTAGCATCAGCATCAAGAGTATCATTTTGAACTGGAGATTTTGGAATATCAAGTGGAATAGATGACTCCCCCTCAGGTGAAGCAAATGACTCCCCCTCAGATGGTGAAGACGATACCATTGGAGGTCTGTAAACAACTTCTTCGTCTTCGTCTTCAGAAACAAAATTCAAACCAGAGGAAGACCCAGATGAACCATCTGAAGACACATTTATGGATTTGAAAAGCGATGTGTAGTCAAATAACCAATCAGGGCCCACTCATGCATCCGTTTCATTCTCCTCCAGCCAGCATACGTCGAAGGATTCTACAATCTGCTTCGTCTTTTTATTGTAAACCCTATATGCGGTGTGTGCAGCACATCCTATGAAATAGAAATCATCGACTTTGGCATGGAACTTTGGGTTGGACTCCAGGTGAAGAAGGGTGCAAGTGCAGCCAAATACGCGAAAATGACTGACAGAAGGCTTATGCCCATGTATAATTTCGTATGGAGTCTTCATCTGAGCCTTGTTGATTAAAACACGATTCTGAACGTAGCAAGCAGTGTTAATCGCCTCAGCCCAAAAGAAAACATGTAACTTGGAGTCACATAGCATTGTACTCGCAACGTCTTTCAATGTTCTATTTCTTCTCTCAGCAACACCATTTTGTTGAGGTGTGTGAGCAGAGCTATATTGATGTATAATTCCTTTTTCTGCGCAAAAATGATCAAGAACGACATTCTTGAATTCTGTTCCATTATCAATATGAAGTGCTTTCACCCGGTTGTTGGTTTGTTTCTCAATTAACACTATGAACTTCTTTATCAGATCTACAACCCCAACTTTGTTGGATAAGAAGAAAACCCACGTAAAACAAGGGAAGTCATCAATCACAACCAGACAGTATGAACTTCTGTTGATGCTGAGGACGTTGACTGGACCAAATAAATCCATATGTAATAACTGGAGCACCTGACTGATTGAGTTAACCTGTTTAGGTAGGTGTGCTTTTCTATGATGTTTACCCTGGGCGCATGACACACACTTCTCAAAGGTTATAAAATCTTTGACAGGTAAACCACGGACCATCTCATTCTTCGCAAGACGATTTAGGTTCTTGGCATTAGCATGACCGAGTCTTCGGTGCCACAACATTGCATTCTGTTCTGAGACCTTCGAAAAGAGGCAAGTGACTTGTTCGGGAATGTTGTTGTTCATATCAATAATGTAAGCATTTCCATCCCGCTTTGATTTGACAAGAATCCACTCTTCTGGGATGATAATGCCTAGGTTGAGAATCATACACTCTTTGTCGGTGAAGTGAGCAGAATATCCTTTGTCACAAATTTGTGAAACACTCAACAAGTTGTGCTTTAATTCGGGAGCAAAGTTGACATTTTCAAAGCCTAGTACTCCATTTGTGAGGGTTCCTCTTTGAGTGATCTTGCCACCTTCTCCGCCCACAAAGGAAACATATCCCCCATTAAAAGATTGAACGTTGTTCGGTTGGGACATGTCTCCTGTTATATGTCGGGAGCAGCCGTTATCGACGAACCAAGGTCTGACGACATTCCTCCACATCTGTCCCTACAAAATGAGCGGGATCATTTAGATTTGGGAACCTAGGTCATCAGTTTCCTGGGTTGACCCTTCACTTTCTACGAATTATCTTTTAAAATTTTCAAGTTTCAGTCGTCATCTTTAACATTTTCAGAGGATGATAATGATTGATTGGAAGTTAATTTAGGCATCCACTGATATTTGGGTTTCTTAACAGTCACAGGTGGTTTTGAAATAGGTTTCTTATCAGTTTGCATTGAGCGTCTAGATGTTCTACCAGAATTGGTTGATGATCCGGAACTGCTCTTTGAAGACACCGATCTTGGCGGAGCCTTGTTCGGTTTTAGCAAACTGCTTGTGACATTGTCATGAAACACCTTTTTGTTCTTTTGAAAAACTGCCATTTTCCGACTTTGATCATCCTTCCAATCATTATCCTGAGAACAAGTTCTGGAGGACTTTCTAGTTAAAGACCTTCCTCTAGATTCATTCTCTCCTCTTGGAGACATATGATGTACAAAAATCCTATTTGGACAATTCCTTGGTATATGACCACTAACACCACAATTAAAACAAATCTGTTTATTATTAAAACTGATACTACTTTTCTCATATTTATTTTCTTTCCTGACATCCTTACTTTTCCCACAAGAACATGTGCAAGAAGCAGGTTGTGAGATAAGTGAGGGTGCATCAAATGGTGTAACTTGTGGAATTGGTGTGTTTTCATCAGAAGCATTACAAACATCAGAATTACCAAACAATTCATCAAACACTTCAAAAAAGCTAAATTCAGTATCAATAGAAGTAAAAGTATCACGGAAAACATTATCATTTTCAACATCAGGAATAATAAATTCTTTATTTGAAACTAAAACTTCAAGTTCAAACTCAGTTTTATTATCAGAAATAGATCCTTCAACTTTGTGCTTTATTGATCTAAGGATTGATCTGCAGGGAAAGTAGAAACGTTAGAACTTTCAACATTAATAACTCCTCCTGAAACAAAACCCGTTGGCTTGCCATAAACCATGAAAGATTCATTGGCAATCTCTTCATCAGAGACATGGTGATACTGATAATTGTGATTGAAAGGAGGAGGCACTTTATCGTATCCCAAACCCTTTTTCTGGCTTTGTTTAAATTGTAGGCAATGGTCAATCATGTTGGCAACTACCTCGCTTGATACATCATACTTTTTAAAATCAAAATTAGCAGTTTCAAATTTGTTTTTTAATGTATCAAGCTCAGTAATTAATTCAACATTTTGTCTCTGGATACAGTCATAGTTGAACATTTGTTACTGTAGTCTTCTTGAAGTTTCCTAAAGTCCTTTATTTTTGTTTCTAACTGGTCCTTTAAGGGTTTTTGTCCTTTTTTAAGTTGATAGTCGTCATATCTAAGGTCCTCTACTTCTCTACGTAATGATTCTATTTCCTCACGAAGAAGTTTAACATAATCAGCACATGCTTGAGAACAAGAAGGTAGACTTACCTCAATTTTCTTGGGTTCTGAAGTAGAAGACACCATCAGTGCAAACTGCATCTCCATCATCTTTTATTTAGGATCAACTTCAACGCTCTGCATGGGAGCTTCATCATTAACTTGGGCCAGGTGAGCATTCTCAGGCCCTGAAATGTTCAACGCCTGAATCTGGTCCTCCCAGTCAAATGACTGAGCAACCATAGCCTTATCACTGTTGACCTGAGCACCTCCCCGATTGTTTCCCACCGTAACCATTGTCTTGTCATTGTTCAATCTTATATCCGGTTTCGGGCACTCAAGAGCAAAATGTCCTGGCTCATGACAGTTGAAACAACACAGCTTCCCTTTGTTGAACCCCACATTTTTATCAGCATTCATAGCCCCGTTATTCTTCCTAGTCTTCTTGGCAAACTTCTTAACTCTAAATACAACCATGGCTATCTGCCATGTGATGTCCATCTCTTCCACATCTTCTGGATGAATCTGATCCAAATCAGCAAATATAGCAGTTCACTAATCCTACGGCAAAGGCAAGTTTGTCATCACCATCCTTTGTATTTGAGGAAGAGGCCACAACTGGTACATTGGAGAAAGAAGCATCTTGAGGATTGACATGCAACTGGCTTTGCGAGTAAGGCGTGGATGATGCGGCAGTAATGGTTTGAAGTTGGGGTTGTTGAACAACAAATGCTTGAATTGAGGAAGGAATGGTTTATGAAAAAGCGTTGTTGGAGGAAATTCTGAGATTTTC